TTCACTTCACTTAGAGCTGTGTTACACACTACATGGAGGGGAATTTTCAAAAACCCATAATATGGGCTCTTTAATATTTGATAAGTGGTAAAAATTCCTTTATTCTTCTCAAGACTGGATGCATTACAGCTGCTAGGATGATACTACGTAATGGGAAGTGTCCCAGAATGCCAGAAATGAAAGAGTGGATTAATGGGATGATTGAAACTGCATCATATGCTGGGGAGATTGAACAATGAAGGAGAAGTACATAGTAAATGGGATAATCTCTGGCAACATCTAAAATTAGAATACATGAGTGAGTATGTACATTCAAAGGTACCACAACCTTAATTTCCATATACAGATGAAGTCAGAATTATTAGCCCCCCTGAATTATTAGCCTGCTTGTTTATTTTTTCCCAATTTCTGTTTAACAGAGCAGATTTTTTTCAGCACATTTCTGCACATAATAGTGTTAATAACTCATCTCTAATAACTGATTTATTTCCTCTTTGTCATGATGACAGTAAATAATATTAGACTAGATATTCTTCAAGACACTTCTATACAGCTTAAAGTGACATTTAAAGGCTTCACTAGGGTAATAAAGTTATCTAGGCAGGTTAGGGTAATAAGGCAAGTTATTGTATAATGATGGTTTGTTCAGCAGATTTGAAAAAATATATATATATATCTTAAAGGGGCTAATCATTTTGTCCCTAAAATGGTGTTTAAAAAATTAAAAACTGCTTTTATTCAAGCCGAAATAAAACAAATAAGACTTTTCCCAGAAGAAAAAATATTATCAGACACACTGTGAACATTTCCTGAATCTGTTCAACATAATTTTGGTAATATTCAAAAAAGAAGAAAAAAATTTGAAGGGGGCTAATAATTCTGACTTCAACTGTATGTTTGCTATATGTTGTTTTCCTTGTTTTTTTTTGGTGTGACAGGTGGCTGAATATGTAACATGTATCATATGTATGTGTAGTGTGACGTGACTACACATACATATGATACATGTTAAATATTATGGGAGAAAAACTACAAGATAAAAAAAAAAGTCTGAATTCTATAATAATAATTCATTAATTTTCCTTTGGCTTAGTCCCTTATTAATCAGGGGTTGCTACAGCCTAAAGAACCAACAGCTACAACCCAGTACTGGGAAACACAAACAAACAAACAAACAAACACACAAACAAACACACAAACAAACAAACAAACAAACAAACAAACACACACACACACACACACACACACAAACACAAACACAAACACAAACACACACACACACACACACACACACACACACACACACACACACACACACACACACACACACACACACACACACACACAACGGTTAGTTTAGTTGATCAGTTCCCCTATAGCGCATGTGTTTGGACTGTGGGGGAAACCGGAGCACCCAGAGGAAACCCACACCAACACGGGGAGAACATGCAAACTCCACACAGAAACACCAACTGACCCAGCCGAGACTCAAACCAGAGACCTTCTTGCTGTAAGGCCACAGTGATAACCCCTGCGCCCCCGTAATGCCCCTAATATTTCTTATAATTTTGAAAAGAATTATAAAATGTCAATGCAGAATAAATAAACAAAATCTAGATGTACAGTCAGATTTAAGAGAAAAAAAAAAGAATTTTGACAAATAAACTCCAAATTGAGAGGTCAGAACTCCTGAAGGGAGAAAAAAAATTACAATTTGAAAAAAAATCAGAATTTTGTAAAAAAAAAAATAATAATAAATAAATAAATAAAATAAAATAAAATAAAATAAAATAAATAAATAAATAAACTTAAAAAAAACTGAATTTTGTGGACATAAAGACAAAAAAATGTTAATTAAAATAATTAAGATTTCTAAAATTCTAGATGTACACTCAAAATCAGGAGAGAAAACATTATAATTTTGACAAATAAAAGTAAACCTAACAGATGAAAAGTCAAAACTCCGGGTGAGAGAAAAAAACAAGTTGAAAAAAATCTAAAAGATGTAAAATAAAATACTAATACACATTTAAAATGGTTTGTTTTAATAGTTTTTATAATATATTTAGAATTTTTAAAAGAATTGTAAATTTCTGTAAAAATCCAGACGTGCTTGGAAAAACTGAGGAGAACATCAGTGTGGGAAACAGTCTGAAGCTTTGATAAAAACGCGACGTGAAAAAGTATCCACTTAAAGATGTTTCAGCAGGCCGGGCTGATATTCAGATGTTTAATGTTAAACATAATACAGCGCTGATTTACAGCTCAATATCAGATCTGTGTTCTGCAGAGCCGAGCTCATAAATCATTGTCTGCGAGAAGAGAAAAGCAGCTGCTCTGCGTCTGCAACAGTTATTAGCACACCATAAAACTGTTTATCCTCACAAACTGCAGCTTTTACATCATTACAGATCTACAGGCGGACTTTTCAAGCGGAGCTATTCTGCAAAAATCACTTCTATAAGAACTTTAAACCCAGTGTTGTGTGTGAGCAGTGTGTGAGTATCTCCAGCAGTCTCTAATGCTCAACATGAATTCATTGTGTTTGTTCTAATCAGACTTGATGCACAAACACTTTGATGACACGTACAAAGGGAGAATGTCAATCAGAGGGGGAAAGCCCAGCCCACTAGTGCTCATCTCATTAGCATAAACAACAGCCCTGAGTGAGAAGCAGCCGTCTGTTCATTAGCCATTAGAGTGTTTGAGCTGCTGAAGATGATGTCAGCACAGACTGTTTAACTGCATTATCTAGACACTTTAGGACTAACTAAGCCTTATTTTATACTATGAAATTTAAGACTTTTTAAAAACCCTTGTGTGAGTTAACAAAAACTCACCATTAAGAACTTTAAAAACATAAATAAATACTGCATGGATGAATGTATAGTTCACTCATCAAAGTAATTACATTAATTAACAATAACTAATATAATCTTACTGTTAAAAGTGCCATGAATGATTTTATCAATGTTTTATGTAATCTCTGTACTAAAACATGAAGAGAGGGCGGGGCACAAAGCAGCTCCTCCCCTTTAGAAAAACAAGCCTTAAATAGCATCAAATGTATGCAAAAAGAGGGTGGAGCATGTGAGAAACTGAAGTATGAGAAGACGTTAATCTGATTCATTTAGGTGAGGGGTGTCCAATCTCATTCCTGGAGGGCTGGTGTCCTGCAGATTTTAGCTCTAACACACCTGTAGGATGTTTCTAGAAAGCCTAGCTAGAGTTTGATTATCTGATTGGGGTTGGAACTAAACTTTGCAGGACACCGGTCCTCCAGGACTGAGTTTAGGCGGACATGAAAAAGGGCGATCTTTAAATGTTTATATCAGGTTTATATACGCTGCATGTGAATGTTGGCTGTTTTGGACACACTGGATTATAGATATCATTCAGACTAACACACTCATTCCAACATCTAAACAACTTTATTTTAATTTCACAAAACCTTTAAGAGTGACCAAGCTATAAGTTAAAAAAAAAAAATAATAATATATATATATATATATATATATATATATATATATATATATTAGGCTCGGGCGGTATTACGGTATTATGGTATACCGCGGGATCTAAAAATAGCAACGGTGTCAGTTTCAATACCGTTATACCGTCATAAAATATTAAATATCCTTTATTTAATGCCTACAAAAACGTATGTGTGGTTGTCATCACGGGACTGTGGAGGAGAGAGAGAGAGGAAGAGGGAGAGGGAGGGGGAGAGGTGACGTGACGTGTCGCGCTTCAAAGTGTCCTGCAGTTTGGCAGTTTCGACTGAACAGAAGTGAGACGTGGTTAATATGAACGAGAGGTCTGCATTAGAGCTGAAGATCTTTGCCCGAACCCGGCGAGACCCGAAAAAATCCAAATCCCTGCATTAAAATCCATCCCTGCAAAGGTGAAACAAATGATGATGAAGTAGTAAAAAAAGCGAATTATTACGGCGGTCAAGCCAGTCACTAGCTCAGAAAGAGCGCTTTCCAGCCGCAGGTATTTCGCGGTCGCTCATACACTGCGTATTACGGTAGAGCCCTAAACCGCAAGCTGACAGGTAAAAAGACGAGGCCTCTCGCTACAGTGAAACTACAGTCATGGAAAATTAAATGGATGTTCCTGACTGGTAGAAGATGAACAAACAATACAACCCAAAACTTGCAAAATCAGCCAGATCAGAACTCTGCATCTCGACCTGTAGCAGCAGGAAAGGGTGTTCAGCTGCTGGACGCACATGAGCGCAAGACTGCGCTAAAACCAGTGGATTTAATAATGTTCCTCCACAAACACACGTAGCCTAATCTTAGTGAGTAAAGGGTTTTTCAATTATAAATAAATATTAATGAAACCATATAATCATAATGTAGACAGAGTATACAGGCTAATGGTGGCATTATTCTTTTATTATTCAGCTTCACCGACGCACTAATGCCAGATTGTGAAGAGAAGTTGAGAAACAAACCTTGCAGAGCCTTTATCTTAATTTCGTTATTGCCAAAATACCCGTCACCATTTAGAGTTTATTTTAACTTGATTTGTTAAGAAAGATTTCTTTTCATTTGTGTGTTGGCCAATTTAAAGGCTAAGTGCATGTACCTAGACCTATAGAGTGCTGATATGTTACGATGTTACAGAGGACTTTATTTCTTTGTTCCAACTTTCAAGTGGCATATAGCCTAGTCTACGTTTGTTACGAAAAAAGGATGTTAAAACATATAAATGACTCATTCTTGAAAAAATGCAATAGAGCTGTGTGCATGAGCACATTTGAATAATGTCGGGCTTTAAATGGGTTCGGGCTGTATAAAGCTGTCAATTAAACTGTACCTGTCGGACTCAGGACCTATCGGGTATAATTTTTATTGCCCGATTACAGCTCTGCATTCCCGCTGCAGTACCGCGGGAGCCGGCCAGATTTCTTATGGTGTAGGAGTAAACTTCTAAATAAATCGCGGGAGAGATGTGTGTGTGTGTGTATGTGTGAGAGAGAGAGAGAGAGA